TGGTATGCACATTTGGCAATGTTTACTTGTGAGGAGTGACATGAGTAAGAGTAAGCTGGACGTCAGTTACATTTCAAGTCCCTTATATCCTGTAAATTGAAAATATTTGTATCTAATTTGTTGTGAATTGGGCAGAAATTAGACTGACATGAATCATAGTAATTGTTTTTCCTTTGCCATCTGCTACTTTTAATTTTAAACATTTGTTTTACTAAGATGAATCTGGAAGTAGGTTCTCTTACTTCTTACTGAAGATGTTGACTCGTATCCTGTTACTTAGCTTAAGGAAATTTATAACCTACAATCTGTTCCTAACCAACAAACACAGAATCCCTGCTATGATTCTGGGAGGTGCATATGCACAGTGGATTGGTGCGTACATGCATGTGCCTGAGAATCATGACAGGGAGTTCGATTTGCCAATTAGGGCTGGATTGAAAGTTTAAAAAAAATTTTAAGCCAGATAACAACGTTTTGTCTTTGTGCACCTTCTACACGTCACCGTGTTTGCTTGCATCTTATTGGTATGTAAGGGGACGTGGTGGCCCTGTGGGCTAAACCGCAGAAGCCTGTTTACTAAGATGAATCTGGAAGTAGGTTCTCTTACTTCTTACTGAAGATGTTGACTCGTATCCTGTTACTTAGCTTAAGGAAATTTATAACCTACAATCTGTTCCTAACCAACAAACACAGAATCCCTGGTATGATTCTGGGAGGTGCATATGCACACTGGATTGGTGCGTACATGCATGTGCCTGAGAATCATGACAGGGAGTTCGATTTGCCAATTAGGGCTGGATTGAAAGTTTTTTAAAAAAATTTAAGCCAGACAACGTTTTGTCTTTTGTGCACCTTCTACACGTCACCATGTTTCCTTGCATCTTATTGGTATGTACCACATAGTATAGCAGTTAATTCCATTGGCCATGTGACCACGGAAGATTGTCTTCGGACAAAACGCTGGCTCTATGGCTTGGAAACGGGGATGAGCACCACGCCCTAGAGTTGAACACGACTGGACAAAAATTGTCAAGGGGAACCTTTACCTTTGTTACCTTATTGGTATGTACCACATAGTACAGCAGTTAATTCCATTATGTTGATTTGAACATTATGTTATTTTTCCACTTGTGTGCTCTGAATGCTTTTCTTGAGCATTCTTGTTTTGGGCTATGACAAAAGCTGGGCTTTCTGTTGTTCCTGTAGTTTTAAAGTATGGAAAAACCTGTCCTTTGGGGTTGAAATGCTGTGGGGGTAGGATTAAGAGGGAAATGTGCTTCCCGTCACTTATAAGTCATTTCACTAGCGAGTTCTTTATCTGAAGGCTTTAAGGCTGCACCGTGGGGACACCAGGAAAATTGCTTTTGTTCGCTGTCTAAAACCACTCTGTGGTTGTCCAGAGATCAGTGAACCATAACTTATAGAGTTTGAATGACAAGAAATATTCAGCAAGCATTCTGATTCTACCAACGAAAAGATTAGAACTTTTTTCACTACTATTCCAAATGATCTTTGCAATTTCAGGTTTGTTTGATTTCAAAGCTTGTGAAAATCTAGGGAGAAGATCAAAGATTTCATTAATACACAGCCTTGAAAAAATTAGGTCCTGACCCATCGGGTGTTGTATATCATCTATATGTAGAACTTTCATTTGCCTTAAATTACAATAATTGCTGTTCAAGGCCAATTTTCCTGTCTGCCTAAAAACGCTAAACCAGAAATTAACACTACTGTTCATCATGCAAAGCAGGATGGATAAAAATCAATGATTTTTTTAAAAAAGTCAAATTGATTTAAATCACAATTTAAATTTTAAAAATGATTTTTAATTTAAATCATCAAAAAATCCAGTTTAAAAAAATTAAAATAATGATATAAATCAGTATGACTTAAATCAAATCCACCCTGATGCAAAGTATTTCTTTCCACATATATTTCCATTTTTTAAAAAAATATGAGAATGGCAGGGGAAGGCAGACACTTGCTTCCAAATTATGTTTGCTTCTTTGTTTTTATACAGCATTAGAACATTTCCAAGAGGCAAGAGGAGATATGGATCTGTATGAATCAAAGCTAATTTGCAGCCCTATCCTGCTGACAATTCATTTTTCTATTTATTTGTTGTGAGCAGAAGATTCATTAGAGAGCTTTGCTGACTCTGACATTTGTTAAATCCCTTGTGGTGTAACGTCTGCAGTAAACATATTTTTCATACCATCAAAATGATCTTTACAGTAAGCCTGTACATGTCAACTCAGAAATAAGTCCCATTGAGCTCAGAGGGTTTTATTCCCATGTAATTTTGCACAGGATTGCAGCATTAAAGTCATAGGCAAATGCATATTAAAAATATGCTAGATGATAAGTGTATTGTAACACTTTATTTATACAGTAAGTGTTCCACTTTTTCAAAAAATAGAACAAGTAGTTTCTTGTGTTGTTGTTGTTTTTAGCAAAGAGCATCCTTGAAAGCTATGTGTTCATGTTCAAGTTATACCAAAAATTTCACAGATAATGGATCTAACCTTTAAAGCACTAGGTGTCTTGTGTTATGGCTATGGAATTGACAGCCTGTCTCATTATGAAACTGTTTGGTTGCTAAGAGCTCCAGGAGAGGCTCTCTTGAGGTACCATGAGCTGCAGAGACTTGTGTGATGCATACATAGGTAAAAGCTTTCTTGTTCCCAAACAACAGAAGTTTGAATGGCAGGCAAAGAGAAGAGAAAGGGGCATGATGTGGCCATATGTACTACCTATGAGAAAGTACATGCACTGATATGCCACTGTATTTAGGCCATGTCCTGCACCTCCCTGTCGATAACCTTGGCCAGGGAAGCCCAATCTCTAGACTGCCTTTCTTTCTCCTTTGTTGCTCCGGAATGGTGGACTTCACATTAGCTTCAGGAGTGGTGTCAAAGGGATTGCTGCAGACTGGTGAATTTACTGTTTTAATAAGCTTTATTTATGATTTCAGTTGATAAACATTCTACAAAATTGATGACCTTGTCTACAAAATAAATGATTCATAGACCAGAAACAACATAAAATCAATAGCACTGTAAAGGGTTACTCGGCTGCCTGATGGAAATGTCAGAATCTGACCAGCGGTAATTAAATCTCTAGGTAAAAGAATGAGTTCAGTTAGTTCTTGGCATTCTTAACAGGGGTAACACAATTGCATTTTAACTCAAAAGTTGGCAAACTTGTGTATCGTATTGTTTCACTACTCAAAACAATGCTGGGGCTTGTGGGGGAAGGAGGGAGGGAGGGAATAGAGAGAGAGGCAAAGAATGTTGTAGATAACACAAAGAAGATACCTCAGTTAGAGACTTGTACAGTTTTTGCCAACCTACACTTATCTCTAGGATACAGCACAGGCGTTATAAGGAAGTCAAATCTAGTTCCATAAAACTATTTTTTTTTAAATTGGAGAATGTTATGTATATATAACATTCTCCAACTTCATATATATATATATCTGTTTATGTGATAAAAAATTATCTGAGAGGCAATGTAAAATGATTCTTATTGTGACCATTATCTGTAAACAATCCTAGACTCCACCCCTGTGTGTATGTACTTTGGAGCAAAGACTGAAAGTATATAGAAAAAGGATAGTGTCACTGAATCTATGTTATCATAAACAATTCGTGCATTTGACTGATTATGGTGTTGTCATGACCCATTAGTATTCTTTACAGTGTACAGTGGTGCCTCGCTAGACAGTTACCCTGCATGACAGTTTTTTCACTAGACATTGGCTTTTTGCGATCGCTATAGCGATTCGCAAAACAGTGATTCCTATGGGGGAATTTCGCTGGACAGTGTTTGGTCCCTGCTTCACAAACCAATTTTCACTAGACGGCAATTTTGACAGCTCCCTCCGCGCTCGCAAACCGATGTTTTCGGGACCTAAGCTTCGCAAGATACTGACAGGTTTCAATGCATTCCAATGGGGAAATGCTTTTCGTTAGACAATGATTTCGCTAAACAGCGATTTCAGTGGAACAGATTATCATCATCTAGCGAGGCACCACTGTATTCAGTTCTTAACTAAAACTGCCAGTGTGTATGGAAACACAAATGTTTATGGATGACATTGGGGAGAGCGGTCAGTTCCTCTTGATGATCTCTACAACCCCCCATCCAATATTTCACTGGGAACTTGCTTGAATATAAAATATTTGTTGGTAAGAATTTCTGATGGAATTTCTAGGGGCTTTATCCATTTGAACATATGAACATTTGAACATATTTGAACAGCATTTTTTAAAATCACTGTTTTGGTGCTTCATTACTGAAAGAAAAACCTTGGAAGAAAAGAATCATTCTTAAAACTACCAAATGAGAGATTCCCCTTTTTAATAGACTATATCCCCATCGCTATATGTCTTCATTTAAACTAAGAAAATGAACTGCTTGCATTCCCTAGAGAGAGAGAGAGAGAGAGAGAAAACAGTAGTATTTTAAACTAAGAAAATGAACTGCTTGCATTCCCTACTACTTTGTGTCGAAATTAATTAATTAATTAATTAATTTTCTAAAAATGTGCCAGCCTTCTTTTCTGGGTGTTGGATTAATTGCCAGCCAGGATGTCTGAGTGTGACATTCCTTTCACTATCAGAATAAAAGTGCTAATTAATCTTGTTGCTATTCTCAGAAAGAGAAGCACCAATAAGAATGGTATAAAATGTGAAGGGAGAAAAGGTTGGGGGAGCCAGTCATGTCAGATAACTATTGTGGTCTGAGGTTTCAAAGCTGATGAATATCACATTTACTGTTAAATATTTAAAGTCTGTTCTTTTCAGGCTCTTTATGTTGTTCTTGTTCTTCTTTGATGACATCAAAACATTATTTGTCACTGACAGAGGAACACAAAGTACAGTAGTAGATGATTTTGCTTACTGGAGAACCTAGTGTTAAGCGGGAGTATTTTAAGGTAATAAATACACTGAACTATAAACCTCATGACTCATTTTACTTTCCTTCCATATCCACAGGTCAGAAAATTCTTCACCACAGAAGCGATGTCTTAGAAACTGTAGTCCTGATTAACCCTTCAGATGAAGCAGTGAGCACTGAGGTATAGTCCTCATAAATGTGTAGCAGAGTGTATTGTATGTCATGGACCTAAAATAACTGCATTTCAGGGAAGCCTGAGTAATGCTACCTAGAGATGGACATGAAGCATAGTTTGGTGCTTCAGTGCTGCTTGGCAGATCAGACCCACAGGTGTTGCATGGCCGCCCCTGATTCCCCTCCCTGCCTCTTCCTCCAGGTGCCCACTTAGAGGAGGAGGCGGGCCAGGGAAGCCCAGGGTGCTGGGTGCCCATGGGAGGAGGAGGGGTGGGGAACCCAGGGCACCCATCCAGAACCTGCGGGCCCAATCCGTTGAACCACACCCCAGTGCTAAGCTGTGCTTTGTGCTCATCTCTAATTGAATTGTGAATTGTGTCTATTCTTGATTGTCCTTCAGTATGACTATCCAGTTAATACATTTTTAAAATCTTAATTTGAATTGTATACATAAGAACCTGTGGGTAGGTTGTTCTATTTTTTCATCCCCTGCCCTTTCTGAAACGATGTTGTCCATCTCCCTTTCCTAGTTAGGGAGGAGAAACTAGGAGCCAACCAGTGGCCAACCAAAAATCCACAACAAATTAGGAAACCAATAGCTTCTTATCTTGCTGTTCCCCTGTACCTCGATTGTTTATACTGATAACCCCAGATAGCCATTGCTTTCCATTGATTTATTTTTTTTCTTACCTTTTAGGCTAGAGGCCAGCATTACATCCTGTGATTTTAAAAAATTAACTATGCATTGTGTAAATGAATGATGGGAATGTTTGGTTTGCATTCCCATATAGAAATGCTCACTTTGAGTTTTCCAAAATTGTCAGCAGAATGGAGCACCTTGCCCTAAAAATTGTACATTTCCAAGGCTTATAATGCATTTCTAGGAAAGGGGTGCACAGAAGACCAGTAACTCAGCAAAACCCCATTTTCATATCCTCCATGTTGTTTGTTTAATAGATGAATACAGTACCTCACTTTTTATCCAGGCATGTACTGAGCTACACCACACTTTTCCCTTTATCTCTCACTATTAATTTTCACTGGTTGGCCCTAATTTCTTGTATTCTGAGGCAGGGAGATGTGTGTTTCATCATTTGCTTTGTCCACAACATGTCTAGATTTATTCAGCTCCATTATAATCCCCTTTGACACATCAATCTTATATACTAAAAAACTGTAGGCTTCTCTCGTCATAAAGGTACTTCAGTCCCCTGGTTCCTTTTTCTTCTTCACCTTTTCCATGTCTTCGTTATTCTTTTTGATGTGTGGCAACTAGAATTATGTACATTTTTCAAGTGTTGTTGCAAAAACATGGATTTGTGTAAAGTCACAGTAAGATTTTAAAACAATCCCTATTCTCTACACGGGTATTCTTTTTTTATGGTTGTTGTACACTAGCTGTGTGTTTAACAAGATCTGGGAAGTTAGAATCATTGAAATGTATTTGTTGATATATTGTCTAGTTTGGAGATACTAATTTGGAGTTGTTTGCAACCTATTTTTTGTTTTTACCATCCTGAACAGTCTTAGGTTGTCAGCAAAATAGCTCACCTAACTGTCTATCCCTAACTTTATTCCATTTATAAGGAAATTAACAACTACTGACTCCAGTACAGATCTTGGAGTCGAATGAACTCTCCAGTGGAGAATTGTTCATTTTTTCCTACTCTTGACACCCAATTCTCTTAACCCCAACACAGACAGACACAGATGCGTGCGCACATGCACACGCACGCACGCACACACACGCACGCACAAACACGAGAAGGCCATGTGGTTACTGCATTACAATTACACAATTCAAATGCAAGAGCAGGTGATACCTTTATTAAATCACTAAAAATTATCAAACAATCACCTAGTTTTTGACATTAATCCATCTTCCTCAGGCTGTGCACCAAAATTCTGTGGATTAATGTCTGTGGAGCCTCATGTTGGGTGTTTGATTCCGCATTGCGCTTCCTGGATGAAGAGCCAGTCTGTGTGGCTTTGAAGAAGTGAATGATAAACCACTGTTGAGTATGCACTGCTGGATAGCTCAGTGGTTTAGGTATCTGGCTGTGGAGCCAGAGGTTAGGAGTTCAATGCCCCTCTGTGCCTCTCTGACAGGGGCTGGATTTGATAGTCCATAGGGTTCCTTACAGCTCTGCAATATTAAAATGAGGAGGAGGAGGAGGATTCTGTACCTCTAAAACGCAGGAAAAGCTCACCATAAGTCAGAATTGACTTGCTGGCATGCAATTACTGCTGGCAGGATAGCTCAGTGAGCTATGTATTTGGCTGCAGAGCCAGAGGTTGGGAGTCCAGTTTTCCACTGGGCCTCCCAGAAGAGCCAGCTGCACAGTTCCAGGGCTCCCTCAGAAGAAGAGAATGATAAACCACTTCTTATTTCTCCCTACGTAGAAAACACTGAAAAGGGTCATCATAAGTCAGAATTGACTTGATAATACATGATCATTATTTTAATGATGGTGACAGTCAGTGGCTAAGTTTTTATTCTCAATTTTGAAAATTCATAAAATGTTATATTAAGACAACCACATGACTCAAGTTTTATACCGTTGATATGTTCTAATAACTTACTCTGTATATCTTATATAATGTCTTTAATTTTTTTAATTTTTGGGTCTATGACTGTAGAATAATAAAACTCAAACTCAAACACTTGTTCTTGCATTTGTCTTATGCACAAGACTGACCTTCTCATCTCATGAGTTTTAAGTTTACTCAGGATCCTTTGACAGGGATCTTCGCTGAAACCAGTTTAAAAGTCCAAGTATACAATGACTGAAATCTAGTCGTATGTCACAGCTAAAGTAGACTCATTGAATTAGTGGAATTTAGAGAGGAGTTGAATCACCGAATCCCCACTGATTCAATGGACCTATTCTAGTTGTTGTGACTCACTACTGGATGCCAGCCAGTTTCAACTGAATAAGCTTACTCATGTGCAATTTCAGGCTGAAATAATTCTAAACTGCTAGTAAGACAGGACTAAGCTTTACAAAAATAAATTTTTTTCATCAGAAAGGTATGTTCTTCTATATTGTAGTGGCCAAGATCTGAATGCCAAATTCAAGTCCCCGGACCTCACACCATCTGCAGGCCACATCAAACCCCCAAATAACATGCAGCAGTTTTTTAAAGCCCTGGGTGAGCCCCGTAGTGAAGTGGTTAAACTGCAGTACTACAGTCAAGCTTCTGCTCATGACCTGAGTTTGATCCCAACAGGTTCAGGAAGCCAGCTCAAGGTTGACTCAGCCTTCCATCCTTCTGAGATTGATGAGTACCCAGCTCACTGTGGGGGCGAAGTGTTCCTTGCATAAATACATTGTAAACCACTCAGACAGTGCTCTAGCACTATAAGGTAGTACATAAGCTGAAACAACATCATCATCAACAACAAGAAATCGCTGAACAGAAAGTATCTGGATAGGCACTTTCAATTAATGTTGATATTTTCTTGAGGCTGTGTCTTTAGGGGCCCTGTGCAAGGCTAAGGAACAGAAACTCCACTTTTTAGAGCCAAGGTAGTCCATTCTTCATTTAAAAAACCCATTACTTTCTACTTGGGGGATCTTGAAATCTCCCTGGGTGTGTAAAATGCAGTTGGGAAGCTACGTGTTTTCCAAAGTCCACTTTGCACACACCATTTTACATGACTGCTTCATCTTTAATAATGTTTTCCACCAATTTACACAGAACGAATATTAAGCAAGGAACCAAATTATACTAGGCTGAAGTCTCCTTCAACCCAGAAACACAACCATTATGTGATCGATCAGTTAGACTAAGGTGAAGGTTGTCCTAAGGGCCTTCATATGTCCCTAGGCTGGAGGTTTAGATTCATCCCATCATTATTTGGCCTAATTTATGCTCAGCTGGCCCTCAGCTCTCTTGGTGGTAAGCCTGAGCTCTTACTTAGTATGGCTCCACCTTCTCCTAATTTACTATTGCTCTTAATGTTTTAATAGTATGCTCTCCTTATTATTGGCTTGCATTTGCCGAAGGTTGCATTCCTGTTCTCATTTGGTCATACTATGTTAAGAATAAGTATAATTCTCAGATTGAGTATTTAGCAGGAATGTCTTTATGTTGTGCTGTCTGCATACTGTTGAAAAATAAGGTATGGAAATGCTGTGTGGCAGTCACATATCCTTGTTAAAATACATTAGCAAAATGGGGGGTTTGCTCCCTTTATTTCTGGAAATGCTAATGGCATTGTATAAAAAGCTGGCAACCTTCCCAGAGCTTGCCACCAAACACAGGAAACAATAAAGCAAGAGGATTCTGTTTTTAATGGATTTAGTACAATTAAAACTGTTGAGATTTAAGTGACATTCATCAGAAGGCTTGAATGCCCTCCTCAGTATTTTATGAAAAAGATGTACAGTAAATGGACTTGACCCATCATGAATAATGTTACATTTATATATCCCAACACAATTAGTGCTAAAGCAGCTTGGGATTTACTTTTGATTATGTAGTTTTCCTGCTGTTCCAAGCTTTTTACTGTATACCCTTGGACTCACTGTAAAAGGTGAATCCTTAAATAGAAATTCAGGGTGCTTTTTCACCATCAGATAGAATTATTTAAGAACAATACGTTGTTTGCCTGATATATGAGGGAAGGGGAGTTAAGATGATTCCAGCTGTAGAAAATATCCATGTCAAAGTGATTCTGGTGTTCTGTGTGTTTGAGAAACAGTAACAGAGAATAGAGAGCGGTGATAGTAGTCAAGAGCAGAAACTAAGAAAGCATATTTTTGTTAAGCAGTATTCACTTTCAAGAAAGCCTTTCTCCTGCAAAGTATTTATACATTAAATATCCACCTCATTTTTTTACACACACATCTGTATCTGTATTTAGCTGGAAATTTATTACAAACCAATTTGAATAAGTTGTCCTTCTCTTCACTGCCTGAGCTTTACACTTTTTAGAAGTCCTTGTTAGACATTATACCTGAAAGTGTGACGAGGGCTAGATGGGCCCCCCATCTCAGCCAGAAAGTCAGTCAGGCCTTTCTGAGATTAGTGCAAAGATCAGAAAAAGTGCTTGAGCTCACTCATGATATTATTTAGTCAGTGGGATGGTCTTACAGCTAATCTTCAGACCTTTGCAGTAATTGCGGAAGGGTCTGACTGACTTCCATGGGGATATGAGGTAGGACTTACATGTATGCCTGTGTCCCTCTTACACAGTCAGCCTTCTATATACTTTTAGGCATAAGGCATGAATAAAGCTTTATTATCTGTGATTTTCAGCTTCCAGGTCCAGCTTTAAAGGTTGCTCCAAAGGGGGCATTGATTCATGAGTCTTTCTGTGTTCATTATAAGGGTAAGCAGCACTTAAAAACATTTCTGTTCTGTTTTACACAGAAGTGTAAATCCTAAATATCAAGCATACTACATATAGCAGTAGTGTCAGCTTTTAATATTTATAAGCACAGTTGTATACGTAATCATAAGACAGTCACATGTTCTTTTGGGGGGGGGCTTTCTCACAGGAAAGTATGTTCAACATTTGGCAAAGAAAAATAACACATTAAATGTTCTCAACTTTCTCTCAACAACAACGCGCATCTGCACTCTACATAGGCCAAACAGTACAATCTCTACACAAAAGAATTAATAGACATAAATCAGACATCAGGAATGGCAACACACAGAAACGCATTCCGTATCATTATAATTTTACCAGAACATTCCACAGATGACATGAGTGAGGGTCTTAGAAAAAAGAAACTACAGGACAAGAATCCAGGAAGAAATAGCTGAAATCAAATATACAGTATACACATGCTAGACACACACATCAATGGACTTAATATACAGTAAATCCAGGGTTTTTAGAGCACTATTAGATAGAAACACTACAAATATTCTACTGTACTGCATCACCAAGATATTTTCCCCCTTAACAGATCTACCTCAGAAACTTCAAAGGTGAAACTGTTTTTTTTACTCTGCTCTTGTGGTCAGCCATTGCCTGGGGTAATTCACACACTATTGCAACTGATTACAAAGGAAAGCTTGTAGGGGAGAAGAGTTCATCTACAACTGTAAATAGCCAATTTAATTCACATTCATGTTACTCTACCATTCATATTTTATGACAGAGGTTCTCACATTCTTTACAAAGGAAGAGTCAATGAAAGACTTGTGTATCAAAGATGCCATCACCACAATGTTAAACACCCACTAACTTTCTTAACCAACCAACCACAATCTCTGTATTTTGATATGTAGATTTTGATGACATAAACATTTGCCATGTTGCATTTCTTTCTTTTATGTCTGATGACGTAGACTTGTCCACAGAAGCTCGCGTTAAAAAAATATAAAAGTTAATCTTTAAGGTGTCACCAAGTTTTTGTCTTTTTTAATATTTTATTTCTACTTTGCTTTGACATGTAATGCTTGCATAGATTGACATGGCAATTCCTTCTACAACTCAAACTCATCTGGTCATAATTATGTTTAAAACACTGAATACATGTCCATTATTAAAGGGCCTAGCTGACTTGGATAGCCCAGTGAGTTAGGTACCTGGCTGTGAAGCCAGATGTCAGGATTCTCCACAGTGCCTCCTGGGAGAAGAGCCAGCCTGTATAGCCTTGGGCAACACACACAGCAGCAGGGGAGTGCCAGATGTATGGAACAGTGAACCACTTCTGAGTACTCTCCACCTAGAAACCCCTGGAAAAGGTTGCCATAAATCAGAATTGACTTGAGGATATGTAAATATTACTATTCAAGGGCCTAATTATTGATTGTATATATTGGACTTATGGCCAAATGTGCAGCTTCAAGCGTTTGCCCTTTTGGTTTTGAGCTTGGAATTCTCTCCCAAGAAAAGCCTGCCAAGTGCCTGCAGTCCTGTCTTTCCCAAATAATTTAAATGTTAGCTGAGTGTTTTCTTACATGTTTCCTTATATTATTTTCTATTGCTTTAATTCTGTTTGTTTTAACTTCATGTTTTTGCTTGTGCGGTTTTTGCTTATAGTTTCTGTTGTGATCGTTTTAAAGCTTCTTGCTTGGCTGGAAAGAGATATGATAGATGCTCGTGCATCTGGGTTGTTGTTTATAATAAATAGATTAGATAGATTAACCTCCTACTGTATTTTTGCATAAGCTAAACATCTTCCCCATAGTCTATCCCATCTTGAATTTCCCTAGATTATTTGGAAAATACAATGCAATGCCAAGTGATCAGAAGTGGAGAAAATTCCTTCTTTAGACTACAATTGCATGGGATTCTGGGAGTTCATAGTCTGAAAAAGTAACTTTTCCTGTCTTCACAAAAGATCTATTTTTTTGCCTGGGTCCATGATGCTTTATGTGTGGCAAAAGTTAACAGTCTCTACAATACATTCTAAATGTTTTCTTTTTGGGCTTTTTCAGGTACGTTTAATGATAACAGATGCTGCAAGACATAAACTTCTGGTATTAACTGGGCAGAGCTTTGAAAATACTGGCGAGCTCATTCTTCAGTCTGGATCTTTCTCCTTTCAAAATTTTATTGAGATCTTCACTGATCAAGAGGTATATTTGTAATTATTTGATAACTTTGTGTAACATTTAGGGACTTTAATGATTACATGAAAATTTGACTTAATATCACAAGGTTTTACGATATGTTTTGTTGCCTAAGCTCTTTGTCAAACTGCTGCAAATCACTCAAGAGAACCCAGTAGTTTCCAGACTAATTTCTGCTAAGCCTTACATATTTAAAACGTATTTATTATTTACTGCATATTTTTATACATATATAACCATAACTTGCAAACTATAAAGCTATAACCAAACAGCAGTTAAGCAACAATTAAATTGATCTGGACGTGTTTTACATTAAATTAAAAAGGACGAAGAGCATTAAAAGCCTGTTCAGAAGTACTCTGAAGATGGCAATTGGGAAAAGTACTGAATTTATTTTTCATCCAGACTACATGTCACCTAAGTGTAGGGCAAGCAACACGCAGCCCACAAATGGCCTGTAATCTCTAGGGTCATATTAATGGCTGCCACATGCCTGTGGAACCCCCAGCTTCCTCGAATCAGTTTTAAGTTTGGGTTTTTGGGTTTTGTATCCTTTAGAGGCTGTGGAGGTAATGTTGCCATATTTTGAGAGTCCACAGCAGTTTTGGGGTTCCCCTTCCACAAATTATCTTTTGACCACTAGAGGGCTCCTGAGAGGTATGGGACTAGGCCAAAGGAGGCCTGGGTTCAAATCCCTGCTCTGCCATAGAAATTTACTGTAAGGGGTGGTGCTGGTAAACCTGTGCTTTAAATATCTCAGCACACGTTGAAAATCCTATTGAGATCACCATACTTTGGATGTGACTTGACAGTGTATAACGAAGGGCTCAAGGGAACATTTCACTACTTTTTTTAAAAAACAGTTAAGCCTATAATAAAATCAGAAAAGAACAAAATTTGAACATTAGCCTCTTTAACCAAGACCCCCCACCTGGATGTCTCAGAAAAATCATAAAAAGTATCTTTGGCATTGCTGAGATTTCCCACCCTGGTCATAATTCTGACCTTGATTGTGCGCATACCTCCTGCTCCATTGCCAGTGTGCAAGCTTCCATCTTCTAGATAATGATCTTAGTGACATGAGTTATGGTACTTTAATATTTTATATCTTTAAATCTGCAGTCCCCATCTAGACCTCTAGCTCTGCTCCTGTGTGTCATTGCCAAAAACAGTTCAGTTTTCTCACTTTCCTTTTTGAGGCACAAAAAAAGGGGACAGAACTGTAATATGTAGTTTAGTCCTAGAAAGGAGTAATGAAGAAGCCACACATCATCTGGATATGGATAAAAAAACTGGAAAACCTTGTATCTCATGACAGTGTGTCAGACATCTGAACCAGCTAGGCCTCTTTTAAACTAGAGCTTAGACCCTGTCCCCTGTGAGCACTACAGTGCGATGGGAGCAGTCTTTTGTATTCATATCAGTAAAGGGAACAGCCACGTGTGTTACATCTACACAAATGCAGGTCTTTTAATCTGTTGAGGTAAATGAGGAAGCTACTGAGGGGAATTCCATGGATACATAACTGTGGGCATGGATTTTTACAAAACATATGTTCCTGAACCTGTCTTTCCCAGCAGAGCTCTGAATGTGTTGAGAAAATCCCCATAGACATAGTACTGAGCGGTCACTTGTCATCCGCATAGCTAGCTTTTAACTGGGTACAGTATACTATATTTAAACCTTATTGATTACTTGGAGCATGAATCTCATGTATAGGTTTTATAGTCTCACATACAAGTTTTATCCAGGACAATAAGACACAGCGTACTCATATCCCTTTTGGTAACAACATGTCTGTCAGAGGTCTGAAAAGGAATAGGCCACTGGATAACCATTTTTGATGATTTGGCAGGGGAAAACTTTGTTCCAAAAATGGCTGAAGTTTAAATTGTGACATATTAAATCTGGGGTTCTTTGCCAGCCCCATAGGCCTACAGTAACAAGGGTCTGATATATGTCGTAGTGTTGTTGCTTGCCTGAGATACAGATAAGTCTCTATACATAGGTAATGCATAGCATTTGATCTGTGGTTGAAAATTTGAGTAGACCTTTTTGAGAAGTACAAGCACACAGAAATATAGCACTGGATGTCATTCTGTTTCCCTTTTAAATAGAGAAAGAGAAGAAATGTTCTGTATTTTGAGGTTCACGAGGATCTCAAGAACAGCCATTTAATTGTATGAGAAGTGAATATGATTCTGTATACCATACCATGTAAACTTCTTTGTGTTTTGGAACTTTAGATTGGAGAATTACTGAGCACTACTCACCCTGCCAACAAAGCCAGCTTAACCCTCTTTTGTCCTGAGGAAGGGGACTGGAAGAACTCAAACCTTGACAGACATAACCTTCAAGATTTCATCAACATTAAACTCAATTCTGCTTCTATTTTGCCTGAAATGGAAGGACTTTCTGAATTTACGGAGTATCTGTCGGAATCGGTGGAGGTACCATCACCTTTTGATATTCTGGAGCCACCAACATCGGGAGGTTTTCTGAAGCTTTCAAAGCCTTGCTGTTACATTTTCCCAGGTGGAAGGGGAGATTCTGCACTATTTGCAGTTAATGGATTTAATATGCTTATCAATGGAGGATCAGAAAGAAAATCTTGCTTTTGGAAACTCATTCGACACTTGGACAGAGTGGATTCAATTCTGCTTACCCACATTGGAGACGATAACCTGCCAGGAATTAATAGCATGCTACAGCGGAAAATAGCTGAATTGGAAGAGGAGCAGTCTCAAGGCTCTACTACCAACAGTGATTGGATGAAAAATCTAATTTCACCTGATTTGGGAGTTGTATTTCTTAATGTCCCCGAAAGCCTAGGAAATCCTGATCCTAATTTCCCCTTAAAAAGGAGTGTAGAAGAAGCTTGTTTTACACTACAATACTTAAATAAGTTATCCATGAAACCTGAACCTCTTTTTAGAAATGTGGGAACCAACACTGAACCAATTATCCTTTTTCAAAAAATGGGGGTAGGAAAGCTTGAAATGTACGTGCTGAACCCTGTAAAAAATAGCAAAGAGATGCAGTATTTCATGCATCAGTGGACAGGTACAAGCAAAGATAAAGCTGAATTTGTGCTACCCAGTGGTCAAGAAATAGACATTCCAATTTCCTACTTGACTTCAATCTCATCTTTGATTGTTTGGCATCCTGCAAACCCTGCTGAAAAAATCGTTAGAGTTCTTTTCCCAGGAAACAGTACCCAATATACCATACTAGATGGACTAGAAAAACTCAAGCATTTAGACTTTCTTAAGCAACCAATAGTAACACAGAAGGATCTCAGTGGTAACATGACAAGTCCAGCAGTAAAACAAACAAAACTTAAACAGCGAACAGATAGCAAAGAAAGTCTCAAGCCCGCCACAAAATCACTGTCTAGCAAAACAGTCAGAAAAGATTCAAGGGAGGAGACGCCTGACACGGGGAAGTCAAGTCCTCCTGATAAGGCTCAAAAAATAGAGAGTAAAGAGAAACCCATAGTAAAGAAAGATAAGACAACAAAAGCTGAGACTAGACTTTCTGTGACAGAAAAAGATCTGACAGCTAAAGAACAGCAACTTGTGAAATCTGAACCTGCTGAAAAACAAGCAGCCGATGTCAAACCAAAAGTAATAAAGGAGAAGCATGTCAAGAAGGAAGTGAAGGTAAAATCTGAAGAGAAGCAGGAGGAGAAAGAGAAGCCAAAGAAGGAGATTTCAAGGAAAGAAGAAAAATCAGTGGCTAAGAAAGAGGAAAAGCCTAAAAAGGAAGATGCCAAGAAAGATATGAAAAAAGAATCTAAAAAAGAATCAAAGAAAGAAGCTCCCGCAAAAGAGTCTAAAAAGGAAGAGAAAAAGGAAATTAAGAAAGAAGAAAAGAAAGAGCCCAAGAAGCTTCTTAAAGAAACAAAGAAAGCACCTGCTGCCTTGCCCGAGTCAAAAAAGACTGTAACAAAGCCTAAGCCACAGAAGAAGGAAGAGTCTGCCAAAAAAGAAACTGGGCCTCTTGGAAAACCAAAGGAAAAAATTAAAGCCAAGCCAGCAAAGAAAGAGACCAAGGTTACAGAAACAGCAGCTGCAGTATCTGCTTTGGGGGCTGTTGCTGCTACAGTAGCAGCTGCAGGGGTGGCAGTGAGTGGACAAGAACTTGAAGTTGAGAGGTCACTCATGTCTTCACCAGAGGATTTAACAAAAGATTTTGAAGAATTAAAAGCCGAAGAAATTGAAGTGGTAAAGGAAACAAAACCTCAGGTAGATGTAATAGACAATGAAGCCAAGTTAACCGATACAGAACAAAAGGAAGTTTATGACATTCAGAAAGAAAAAACAGGAGGGCCTGATGATTCTCCAGATGAAGGTATAACCACCACAGAGCCTGAGGGAGAATGTGAACAAACTCCTGAAGAGCTGGAGCCTGTAGAAAAGGACAAGGCTGATGACAATGAAAAGTTTGAAGATGAGGGGACAGGTTTGGAAGAATCTTCTGAGGCAGGGGACTATGAAGAAAAGGCGGAAACAGAAGAAGCTGAGGAACAAGGTGATAACGAGGAAGAAGAAGCACTGCTAAGTGGCAGAAAGCAAGATATGAAGGGTACAGTAGAAGCTGAAAAAGAAGCAATTGTAACACCTGAATATGAGAAAATAAAAGAATTAAGATATGATGAAAAGGCAGAATTCAGAGCTGAGGGCGAAGAGCGAGAGGAAGAAAATGCTGATGAAACTGTCGAAAAGGTAGAAACAGAAGAAACTGAAGAGGAGGTGGAAGAGGAGGACAAAACTGAGAATGTGAGGGATGAAGAAGAGGAAACTGAAAAAATAGAAGCTGGGGAGGATTATGTTATGGCTGTGGTGGACAAAGCAGCAGAGGCTGGTGAGATTGATGATAAATATGACTTGCATATAATCACTCCGACAAAGCACCCGGAAACCCATTTGCCAGCTAAAGAACCAACAACTTCAATCCATGATGAAACTTTACCTGGTGGTTCAGAAAGCGAAGCAACAGTTTCGGATGAAGAAAACAGGGAAGACCAGCCCGAGGAATTTACTGCTACCTCAGGTTATACCCAGTCCACTATTGAAATATCCAGTGAGCCAACTCCAATGGATGAAATGTCCACTCCAAGAGATGTGATGAGCGATGAAACCAATAATGAAGAGAGTGAATCTCCATCCCAAGAGTATGTCAACATTACCAAGTATGAATCGGCTTTATACTCACAAGACTTTACTAGGCCTAAACTTCCTTCTCCACTTCCTGATGCTTTCAATGGGTTATCTGAAGGTTCTAAAACAGATGCCACTGAGGGCAAAGACTATAATGTGTCAGCTTCTACCATTTCACCACCTTCTTCCTTAGAGGAAGACAAATTCAACAAATCTGCCTTCAAAGATGTGTACCGCCAACCAGAAACTGAGGTCAAAAGTACTGGTAAGTTAGAAATTTCAGAAGCATTAGATGAGAAGCATAGCCCAACTAGAAGTCCAGATGAAAGTCCAGCTGCTCTGTCACCAATTGCTAAAACACCTCTCAGTGAACGCAGTGTGAACTTTTCATTGACTCCTAATGAGATTAAAGTGTCTTCTGAACCTGCAACTTTCACATCACTGCCTGAAAAAACTGAAGAAACTCATGAAGAGCATTGTCCCAGCCCTGAGGATAAAACATTAGAGGTGGTGTCTCCTTCTCAGTCAGCTGCTGGGAGTGCTGGGCACACACCTTATTATCAGTCTCCCACAGATGAAAAATCAAGTCAACTTTCCTCTGAGATTTCTGGAAAAGCAATAGACACTCCAGTCATCATTGAAGATAGTGATGCCAAAGATAACATTGCGAAACACAGAATAAGCCCAATGGATGAACCTGTGCCTGATTCTGAATCACCTTTTGAAAAAGTGCTCTCACCTTTACGAAGCCCACCATTAATTGGTTCAGAGCCTCCCTATGATGCATTTTTGACTGCTGATGCAAAATCTCCTACCAGAGAAACTGAGGCTCCCTTTGAAAAGAAGGGTGAAAAAGATGGTTCTCCCTTGGAAAAAAGCCCAGTTTCCGAAGTGTCCACAAGCATTTCTACAAGCATCTTGCAAGATGAGCAAGCTGAAAAAGATGTGCAGCTTTCCCCACTGAAATCAGACTTCGTCCTAGAAAAGCAAAAGGATCATTTCGAATCTTCAGAAGCTCAGCCTGCATTGGGTTTGGATGAAAGAAAGCTAGGAGAGGTTTCTCCTACACAGGTAGATATCAGTCATTTTGGCTGTTTCAAAGAAGACACCAAAATGTCGATTTCTGAAGGTACTGTCTCCGATAAATCTGCAACACCAGTTGATGAGGTTGTAGCGGAAGACACTTACTCACACATTGAAGGAGTTGCCTCTGTTTCCACAGCATCTGTTGCGACCAGCTCATTCCCAGAACCCACCACTGATGACGTATCTCCTTCACTGCATGCTGAGGTTGGATCCCCCCATTCTACTGAAGTAGATGATTCTCTTTCTGTGTCTGTTGTGCAGACACCAACAACATTTCAGGAAACAGAAATGTCTCCATCTAAGGAAGAATGCCCAAGACCCATGTCCATTTCACCTCCAGATTTGTCCCCCAAAACAGCAAAATCAAGGACTCCTGTTCAAGATCATCGTTCTCCTGAACAGTCAACCATGTCAGTAGAATTTGGGCAGGATTCTCCAGAGCAGTCTTTGGCAATGGACTTCAGCAGACAGTCTCCTGAACATCCCATACCAGGTGCTGCTACACACCATATCTCTGAGAATGGTCCAACTGAAGTGGATTATAGCCCTTCAGACATGCAGGAACGTGGTTTCCCAAATAAAATATCACCAGTGGAGCAAGCATATTATAGCCATGAAAAGGATATTTCAGAAATCATTTCAGTATCTCAAATAGAGGCCTCACCTTCTTCCTCCTCAGCTCATACACCGTCACAGGCAAGTTCACCACTTCAGGAAGAGACAATAGCAGGTGTTCCACAGGCCACTGGCGTGCCATTGCATTCTGCATTTCCATCAGAAAAAATGCATGGCCTGGGAGAAAAACTTTCACCAAAATCTGACTTGTCTCCATTAACACCACGGGGAACATCTCCTTTATACTCCCCTGGTTTTTCAGATTCACCTCCTGCCATCAAAGAAACTACTGCTGCTGGTGGGTCACCTCCACTATCATTGCACATGTCCTCCGACAAAACATTTGGCTACCATACCTCAGGAGTTCAAGACATTCTGACAAACCATAGTCAAGAGCTTACTTCTTGTACAGAACAGACAGATGCTGAAGAAGCAACCAGGACATCTGAAGCTCTTAATTACTCTTACAATGGCACTGGAAAAAGCACCAAATCACCTGAACCTGTTAGTTATTTGTTTGAAACAACAGGCAAAATCAGTGGCTCCTCTGATACTCTTGATTATTCCTATGTTGCCACAGGGAAAACCACAAGGTCACCTGAAGCTGATAGCTATTCCTATGAAACAGTAGAACAAGTCACCAAGTCATCGGAAGCCTTTGATTATTCCAGTGAAAAAGCCACCAGATCTTCTGAGTCTGCCAGCTACTCTTATGAGGCCACAGGAAAAACAAGCAAATCACCAGAGACGATCAGCTATTCTTATGAGATCACTGGAAAAGCTAGCAAATCCCCAGAATCTGTCAGTTACTCTTATGAGGCAATTGGGAAAACCTCTAGATCACCTGATACTGCCAGCTACCACTATGAGGCTGATAAATACTTTGGTTCAGAAAAATCAGAAACACGTCAAGATGTTGATTTGTGTCTAGTCTCTTCTTGTGAATATAAGCATCCCAAAACAGAACTTTCACCTTCCTTTATTAATCCTAACCCCTTAGAATGGTTTGCAAGTGAAGAACAGTCTCAGGAACAAGAGAAGCCATTAACTCAATCTGGAGGAGGACACCCTCCTTCAGGAGGGAAACAGCAAGCACGCCTGTGTGGTGAAACGCCTCCAACCTCAGTCAGCGAATCCGCTCCATCACAGACTGATTCAGATGTGCCCCCTGAGACAGAAGAGTGCCCTTCTATTACAGCGGATGCTAATATTGATTCCGAAGATGAATCTGAAACTATTCCAACAGATAAAACCATCACATATGAGCACATTGACCCTCCGCCACTCCCAGTGCAAGACCGTAGCCCTTCACCTAGGCACCCTGATGTCTCCATGGTAGACCCAGAGACTTTACCTATTGATCAGAACTTAGGCAAGCCTTTGAGGAAAGATCTGAAAGAAAAGAGTAAAACGAAAAAACAAGGCACCAAAACCAAGTCTTCCTCTCCGGCCAAGAAGAGCGACAGCAAATCAAAACAGGTGGCTTCACCAAAGCCCGCTGGATTGAAGGAGTCATTGGATAAAGTTTCAAGAACAGCTTCTCCAAAGAAGAAAGAGTCTGTGGAGAAAGCTGCCAAAAATGTCTCTACTCCTGAGATAAAATCTTCCCGTAATGAGGAAAAAGATAAAGAAACCAAAAATGCAGCTAACTCTACAACATCAAAGTCAGCAAAGACTACAACTGCAGGTGAGAAGAAATTGCATGGTTAATACTGTGAAGGCAAAAAATTGTTTGTGTTGATTGAGAATTCAGCTCAAGAGAAAAAAATAATGATCTAAAGATAATGTAGCAACAAACAATGGAATGTTTTGTCTTTTTGCAGTTACGATTTTAACAGTCATTTAAAGAAGGATCATGAATGCAACAAATTGTCAATTTGGTTAAAAATTCCAGCATCTCTAAATCATAGCCAAGGTTATTTCCTCTCTTGACAGGGCAAACATCATTACTGTGGGTATACTGGAGCTACACTACTTTCCCTCCACATGTGGGTTATGGGAAACACAATAATAATAATAATAATAATAATAATAATAATAATAATAATAATAATAATAATAATAATAATAATAATAGTCGAAAAGTTGGCAGTTCAGATCTGCGCAACAGGGTGAGCTCCTATTGCTTGTCCAAGCTCCTGCCAGCTTAGCATTTCGAAAGCATGCAAATGCAAGTAGACGAAAGAGTACCACCTCAGTGGGAAGGTAATGGCATTCTGTCTCTAGTCATGCCGGCCATGTTACCATGGAAAGTGCTTATGGACAAACGCCAGCTCTTCAGCTTACAAACAGGGATGATCCTCAGCCCCCAGAGTCAGACATGACTGGACTTAATTGTCAAGGGGAACCTTTTCCTTTAATAATATCATAAATATATTCATGCTTGTGAATGTATAATGGGCACCTCAGTTAAGTTTTCCCAAACACAAGCTTTTAAAGACTGTGACTTGGATTTAGAGCAAAATGCTGTTGGTTTGGTGCTGAGTGATGGGGAAGCTTTGACATTCATATGTTTCGGACTACAACTTCCATGGTGCTTTATCACAGGCCATGTTAGCTGCAGCTTCTAAGCACCGGAGCCCGAAACTTTGGGAAGACCAAGGGTTCCCAAACCCAATCCACAATGTTCTGCACTGCCATAGTGCAGGAAACTGGAAAAGATTACAGCTGTCGTGTTTCTCGTGTAGAGTGCTTATACTTTCAGAAGAATACGGAGAAAAAAATTAATGACCATAGTGAGTAAATCACCATGAATGATTTACATATGGACAATTAACCACGCAGTAATAACAAACAGTGTCACACTGAGCACATGCACTGATCCTTTTACTCATCACTGAGTATTTTCACTTTTCTCGCCATTCCTGAAAATCTGGATATATTTTATTTTAGAAATAAATATTTCACAGACGTGGGCTTGGTTACTACATAAAAGATGTTCATCAAACAGTACTAGATCTTAATTGGTTGCTGGAAGAACAACTGTGTTCTTAGCTGGGTGGTATTACGTAGAAGAGTCATCTGAAAGAAGTGCATTGTTATCCACAGAAGTTCACAGTAAAAGAAAATTGCTAGTTTTAAAGCTGTCCCTATACTTCTGTTTTTGTTTTGTCTTTGTTTTTCTTATTAGTAAACAGCCTTTAGACCCAAAGTAATAGATTCAAATTATAAGATAGAATATTTGGTCTAAACATTGGGAAGAACAAACAGTAAGAGCTGTTCAGCAAGTGGACTGTCTTTCACCAAAGTTTTTTAAACAGAGTTTGAGTAGTCATTTGTGTTTAATGGGAATTGTAGGGCTGGAAGGTACCCTACGGGTCATTGAATCCACAGCAAGAAATCCACAGTTAAAACATCCCTGTTGTGTTGCCATCTAACCTCTGATTAAAAACTTCCAACAAAAGGGAGTCCACCACCTTCTGAAGCCATCTCTTTCATTGTATAACATCTATTACTATAAAAAAGTTATAATATTTACATGACTCTTCATCACTCAGCAGAGGAGTGATGGGGGAGGGGGACAACACCAGTGACACTCTAATTCTTGCTAGTACTGTGTAGAAGGTGGCAAAGGTAAACCAATTCTGAAAATATTATATCTTGAAAATACTATGATGAGACAACCCAAAATGAAACAAGAGTAGTTTTAGAAGATGAGACTGCCAAGCATGAAGGCACTCAGTCAAAACTGGGAAAGAACAGAGGTTGTTGCTAATGGAGAAACTAGATTAAAACTGAAAGGATGTCTAGTTTCTGATGTGTACAGTGGCATGGAAAGTCCAAGGTTGCATGACACATGTAACTAGAACATGAAATGCGAGAAGTGTGAATTAAAGTAAACTCAAAATGAGAAAGCAAGAAATTGAATATTTCAGCATTGTAATACTTGGTGTGAGCAAACTAAATAGATTAGAATAGGACGTCTTTAGTAAAATATTTACAAAGTACTTTGCTTTGAAAATGACAAAAAAGAGAGTGTTGCTCCAGAAATAAGGTGTAGTACAGCAAAGATGGGTAGGGGACTATGACACAAAGCCTTCAGACTTCTTGAAAATTGTAATACTTGGTGTGAGCAAACTAAATGGACTAGAATAGGACATCTTTAGTAAAATATTTACAAAGTATGTTGCTTTGAAAATGACAATAAAGAGAGTGTTGCTCCAGAAATAAGGTGGAATACAGCAAAGGTGGGTAGGGGACTATAACACAAAGCCTTCAGGCTTCTTGAAATGTTGTTTAATTGTGTCTGACTCTTCGTGACCGCATGGACCAGAGCATGCCAGGCCCTCCTGTCTTCCACTGTCTCCCGGAGTTGGGTTAAATTCATGTTGGTCGCTTCAATGACACTGTCCAACCATCTCATCCTCTGGCGTCCCCTTCTCCTGCTGCCTTCACACTTCCCCAACATCAGCGTCTTTTCCAGGGAGTCTTCTCTTCTCATGAGATGGCCAAAGTATTGGAGCCTCAGCTTCCACAATTCAAAAGCATCAGTTCTTTGGTGGTCAGCTTTCTTTATGGTCCAGCTCTCACTTCCGTACATCACTACAGGGAAAACTATAGCTTTGACTATTCGGACTTTTGTCATCAAGGTGATGTCTCTGCTTTTTAAGATGTTATCTAGGTTTGTCATCGCTTTCCTCCCAAGAAACAGGTGTTTTTTTAACTTTGTGGCTGCTGTCACCATCTGCAGTGATCATGGAGCCCAAGAAAGTGAAATCTTTCAGTGCCTCCATTTCTTCCCCTTCTTTTTGCCAGGAGGTGATGGGACCAGTGGCCATGATCTTAGTTTTTTTGATGTTGAGCTTCAGACAGTTTTTTGCACTGTCCTCTTTCACCATCATTACAAGGTTCCTTAATTCCTCCTCGCTTTCTGCCATCAGAGTGGTATCATCTGCATTTCAGAGGTTGTTGATATTTCTTCCGGCAATCTTAATTCCGGCTTCGGTTTCTTCCAGTCCAGCCTTCCGCATGATGTATTCTGCATATAAGTTAAATAAGCAGGGGGACAATATACAGCCTTGTCGTGCTCCTTTCCCAATTTTGAACCAATCAGTTGTTTCCTATCCAGTTCTAACTGTTGCTTCCTGTCCCACATATAGATTTCTCAGGAGATAGATAAGGTGGTCAGGCATTCCCATTTCTTTAAGAACTTACCATAGTTTGCTGTGGTCTGCACAAAGGCTTTCATGTAGTCAATGAAGCAGAAGTAAATGTTTTTCTGGAACTCGCTGGCTTTCTCCATAATCCAGCGCATGTTAGCAATTTGGTCTGGAGTTCTTCTGCTCCTCCGAAATCCAGCTTGTACTTCCTGGAGTTCTTGGTCCACATACTGCTGAAGCATACCTTGTAGGATTTTGAACATAACCTTGCTAGCGTGTGAAATTAGTGAAATTGTAGGTAGTTGGAGCATTCTTTGGCACTCCCCTTCTCTGGGATTAGGATGTAGACTGATCTTTTCCAGTCCTCTGGCCACTGTTGAGTTTTCCGAACTTGCTGACATATTGAGTGAAGCACTTTAACAGCGTCATCTTTTAAGATTGTAAATAGTTCAACTGGAATGCCATCATCTCCACTGGCCTTGTTGTTAGCCATGCTTTCTAAGACC